CAAACCTCGATTTAAAAGCAGAATTGTCAGAAGAAGAAGAGGAGGAGGGGGAGGAGGAGGAGGAGGAGGGGGAGGAGGAGGAGGAGGAGGAGGAGGAGAAGGAGGAGGAGGAGGAGAAGGAGGAGGAGGAGGAAGAGGAAGAGGAGGAGGGGGAGGAGGAAGAGGAGGAGGAGGAGGATGAGGAGGAGAAGGAGAAGAAGAAGAAGAAGAAGAAGAAGAAGAAGAAGAAGAAGAAGAAGAAGAAGAAGAAGAAGAAAGCAAAGAGACATTTGGAATTTGGAGCTGGCTAAGAAGGCGGGCGCTGCTGCTCCAGATGATGGTGCTTTATTTCCCTTCATTTTCCCTCCATCTGGAAAGTCAGAATCCGTCTGAGCCACATAGTCCTTGACTTGCCGTGAACAGCAGACACTAGGAAGGAAGAAGGACTTCCTTTTATTATAGACTAAACCCTTAGCAGGTGGCTTCCCTGTATGTTCAACAGTCTGCCTGCCAGCATCTGGTAGGTGTTTTTACATCTCGAATTTGCATTTCTCTTTGGCTGTGTTCTGACTCCCATGGGGGGCGAAATCTACATCTTTTTTCTTTTACTAAAACATTTTCCTTTGTGCTTAGCCCCCTGGGGCCCAGAAACCCCTGACATGTCAAGTTCACCTTCTGTTTTAATAGTGGACCTCGGGATTTTCCTTTCCAGGTACTGTGGACAGCAGGAGTCCCGAGAGGTGCGTGGTGGTAACCGCAGCACAGTGCCAGCCGGCCACCCTGCACCAGAGTGAGGTCTCCCTGCAGCTCTGCATTCTTTTCTACAAGAATCAAAAGAAAGGCGCACACAAACGACTAAAAAGAAAAACTGAAATCGATTTATAAATCAAGACTGTCTTAGTAGGGCAAATAATATTTGACCAAAAAAAGGGAAGGAATCTAAATATTACATATTATATAAATATTTTTATTTTTATTCTATTTTATTTGGTTTTGGTCTTATTTATTATAATTGTGGGAGGTAGCCTAAGACTTACAATGGCAGCCATTATTGGCACCTGCAGGACCTCAGAGTAGCTCTAAGGAGCCTGAGAGACCCACAGAGGCTCCGAGGGGAAATGCTCTGGAGGAGAAGTCTACAGAACTTGCAGTACCCAGAACAGCTTTTTAAAAGGCAGGTCTTATGGGAAGATGCTTCTAAAAAGTGGGCTCATGGAACTGGAAGGAAAGATGGCTGAGCAGAGCCCCGTGCACACAGTGAGAATGGCAAAACTAGAGACACTTCCTTAAGGGTGTGGGAGCGACCACAGCAGACAAAGAGCATGGCCTTACTGATAGGGCCAGTACTTGGCCTGCAGCATGGACCTGCTCCTGGCCGCATGCTCTATAGTCATGCCTGATGTGCCTGGTGAGCCTCCGGGTGGCCAGCACCAAGGACAGGGTGGTGTGTGGCAGCCTAGAGTTTTCCCAGAAACATGTCCTTACTGAATAGGGCAGCATGGAGCCAATGTGGCTGCCACCCTGCTGGAAGGAGGGGAGTGCCAGGCCACAGAACTGCCCTTAGGCAGTCTCGAGCTGTCCCTGGATGCCCTGCCTCTGGGTAACAGCAGGGTATATAAGTCGAGTCTCAGGGATGGTCCAGTTATCTATGGTGCTTCAGAGACCAGAGACCTTGAACCAGACCAAGGACTCGCTGCATTGAGTATTTGCATGTAAAGCTGTTTGGGTATGTGTACTGTGTGGCCACTTCAACAAACAGTCGATTGAGAGCTGGGAAAGCTGGAGGAACGGAGAACGTGCTGTGGAGAAAGGCAGATGGTGACCTGACAGAGGTGACAGGCGTGGGAGAAGGCTGACGTGGACAGGGGAGCGTGCCCTTGCTGAGCAGAGCTAGTGGGCTGGGATGCAGCAGCCTGGAGCTCTGGCAAACTCTGCCCCAAAAGTTGATGCCTAACCACACGATCCCCCTGACTCTGAGCAACGACAGGATACCAGAGATGAAGAATGGTTCGTTTTCTGGACCGGGCCTCCTCAAAAGTCCTCCGTGGTTCATGCTGCCCCCCGAAGCCATGTTTACACCCAGAGTCCATACGGATGGCTGTGGTCTGGGATGCCACATAAGGCCACGTTGATGCCTGTGGCCCTTGTAGCCGCTAGAAGCTGTGATGATGTCAGTGATCTGTGCTGCCGCTAGAGACCATGTTGGTGTTCGTAGTCTGTTATACTGCCAAAGACCAAATGGATGTGCTGCCACCTGATGGGAGCCATGTTGCCACCAGAGGCCACGCGGATCTCCATGGCCTGTGCTGCCACCCAGAACCACTGTGACGTCTGTGGTCCATGCTACGACTGAGATCCTTGGGCTGGGCTTCTGCTGGAGGCCAAGTGGTTGTCTATGGCGCCTACTGCTGATGACTTTGAAGGACAAGGAAGCTTCTTTTGCAGTGATATTGATGGCTACAGACTCACAGTTGAGAACGAGACACGGAAGACTTCCATGACAGCCTCTCTCCCCCACTTCCACTCCAACCCCCCAAAAGAAACAGTCTAGACAGGAAGAGACAAGAACTCTTAAAAATTGTGACAGGGATGCTGAAGTGTAGCTCTTCACAGCTGATGGCTTCTGGTGGGGCTAGGGGTTGGGAAGGATTCAGTTTTCTTTTCTTTTCTTTTTTTTTTTTTTTTTTTTTTTTTTTTTTTTTTTTTTTTTTTTTTTTTTTTTAGTTTTTCGAGACAGGGTTTCTCTGTAGCTTTGGAGCCTGTCCTGGCACTAGCTCTTGTAGACCAGGCTGGTCTCGAACTCACAGAGATCCGCCTGCCTTTGCCTCCAAGTTCAGTTTTCTTTAAGAAGCTAGCCACTGGGAAGTTTAACCGTGCTCCAGTGAGTATATGGGCAACACAAATTGGACCTGGCTTGTTTTTTTCTTTTTCTCCTTCTCTTTTATTTTTTATTTTTTTGGTGAGGTCACAAGGGTGGGGGAGTGGACCTAGGAGAACAGGGAAGTGAGTGTAAATGGTATGCATTGTGTGAAATTGCCAAGAAATCATTAAAAATATTATATTGGGAAGAATTGTGGGCAGCATGCATGTGGAGGTCAGATGACAAACTTACAGAGCTGATCCTCTCTTTTCCCCTCTCTGTGGGCTCTGGGGATCCAGTGCATGGTGCCATGCTGGGTGACAAGCACCTTAACCTGCTGAGTTATCTCAGTGGCCCCCACTGTAAGGAATTTCAACAATGGGGTGGAGGTGTCATGGCCCGTAGACAATGAAAATGTCACCACAAAACAAATGTTGGCTCTTTCAAATCACAAATTTTAACTCCTTCAAATCCAACAAAACAAATGGCCTTTCACGTCCTTTAAAAAAGTGCAGAACATATATGTGACTTGTGGTGTTAGCCTGAAAATACGTGATATTGGGTTTCTTTTCCCCTTGGAGAGCCTTTGGGGATGTTGTTGGGACTTTTTTTTCAATGGTACCGCTAGAAATACAGGTCTCAGCCCCTAATAACATCTGTGCAGAGGAGAGGAGAGAGGGAGAACAGCATCCTTTGCTTTTCCCATGTTTTGCGCTATCTGACCTCCATCCACCATATGCTAGTTAGATCTCCTCACAGGATTTTCAGCTAACAGTTGTCTCATGTCCCCAGGGGAAAACCTCTGGCTGGAAACAACTAGAGAGGCTAGTTCTCACTTCAGAAACCAGGCCCTCTTGTCCATGTTTTGCAGACCATATTTACCTGCACGTTAAAGCTCTTGTATTTGAGGGTATGATCAACACAGAGAAGGCTGGTTTCTGGTGTTACTTTTGTATAGGCTCTTCCATGGAATTAAATGCTCAAGGGACTGATAATCCAGTCCAGTGGCTTCACGCTTCCAAAAGTAACTGAGGAATGGATTATTGAGATGCAGACTTCACAGAACCTAATAGATATGGAAAGTATGGTTTTGAAAGGGAAGTAATAGGAGCAAAACATTTTTGGAGAAGTTAAGCAATAGCTAATGGGATGGAAAGACGTCTCAGGGCCAGGGACTGGAAGATTTAATATTGAAAAGATCATAACCCTTCTCACACAGAGCCATCCCGAGGTTTTCCTAAGTCACAGTGGAAAGCAACGGTGACTTGAAGACCATATCTAGGTTTCAAGCCACAGGGAGACCATTTATTCTTCAGATGCAGCCAAGGAGGATAACGAGGAAACAGAACTTTCCTGGGCTGTGAGGAGCGATGATTGGGAAGCGGCTCCAGATGGCGGAATTAGAGTCCACTCAGGAAATAGCCTCCACCCCTGGGGCCCAGTTCTATTTCCTTCCACAGAGATTTCAGAACTGCTGGGTCAGAGACAAGCGACAACTTCCACTCTTCTGCACTGTGAGCGGTAATGTCTACTGTGGTCACGCCGGTCCATCTTCTGCCATATTTTGGACACGTGGGCACAAGTAATTTGGCTTCTCAGCCCTAAATGCCTGGATCAGGTGGAGCCACCTGAGACCCAGATCTGGAGTCTGAGAAGAGATTACACGAGACTTTGGGATCTTCTCTAAAGCAAAGTGGAAATATTTTACATACAGAAGAAGAAAGCAAATTTCACCGTGAGAGCAGGCAGTCGTGGGTTTTAACGATGGCCCCAAATGTTTGCTAGCCCTGAGAGGCGATTTTGGATGTCAATCATTCTCACTTGATTTCCAGCTCCCGCCCATAAGCGATGGCTGCTGTTTGCACCGAGCATAGTTGCAGACTTCCTTTTACCAGGAAAATGTGGATGGAGGTGATACACATACCTTCCCACACAAGTTTACAGAGCATCTCATGGCTTGACCATCGCTTCCTCCACCCCATCCCACCGCCATCATCTTGCCCATCTGAAAACACTTACTGAGCACAATCAAATCAATTCAGAGTCTCAGCCTAAGGAATGAAGGTTGTGACCTTGGTTAGGTTTGGGTCTGAGCTTAACTTATACAAGTAGATATAGATATAGAGATATATGTCAGCCATATTAGTAAAAGTATCTCCCAGTACTGACCTGGCAGGGGATGTACCATGATCACGAAGGTGGTTTGCCCAGGGCGAGGCTTACCCATTGCACTCCGGATGTGCTGACCCCTGCAGTTTCCCCAAATGCAGGAAATTCCACTGCATAATTTGTGGTAGTGGGGGACTGCGTTAGTGTGCTCCCCTGTAAAAGAAAGAAAGAAAGAAAGAAAGAGAAGGAAAGAAAGAAAAGGAAAAAAAGGAAAAGAAAGAATCTAAAAAAAAATATCTTCCAACTCTTATCTTCTGATATTTGGAAACTGGAAATAGTTGAATTCCATTCCCCTTTACAAAATTGTGTGGTTTTTCTTGGACTTCTTTCTTTCTTTCTCTCTCTCTCTCTTTCTTTCTTTGCATTTTGTTAAATGAAACCAAAAAGTTAAAGACTATTAGCAACATGCTCTTTGCCCTCTTTGCCTATCCACAGTGTCACTGAGTATATAATCTGGTCTTCCGGGAAAGCTGGGCTTAACCAAAGCAGTTTTTTAATGCAAAACCAGACGAAGGGTGGGAAAGCAATGAATAAACCTGACACTTTTTGTGTCAACAAACCACGAGCGCAAAAATATCTTCACCCTAAAACAGGGAATCTACAAAAATTACAAAGCAGATATTTTCCTTGGATCTGGGAGAGTGAGGGTCAAGAGGAAGATGGAGAAGTCTCTCGCTGCATCTATTCAGTATCGTGTTGGAGGGCTATCCAGGGAGACAGGACAAAAAAGAAAAGTAAAGCATCCAGATAATAATGGACAAAGTAGATTTATCTCTTTATAGGTAACATGTTGTTGTCTATAGAAAATCCTTAGGTACCCTTAAGGAGCAACAATTAAGAGGAAGGGAACCAGTTGGAGGGGAAGGAGAACAAGAAAGTAACAGGAGGTGTGTTTGGTCAAAATGCATTACATACATGAAAGAAACGCTCATGATGAAACCCTTTATTATGCATAATAATTATATACTAATAAAACATTTTTTTAAAGTTAGAGCCAGTGAGTGGGTTCAATCACGGTATAGGATACAAGCTCAATATGCAAATGTCAAGTGTGTCTCTATGTACCAGCAATGAAAACCCAAAAATGCAGTGAAGGAAACAATTCCACTTTTATAATAGTGTTAAAAATAAAATACTTAGAAATAAAATTAACAAAAAATTTAAGACTTATAACTGGAAATTTTTTCCAAAGGCATTAATGACCTAAAGAAGCAAAAAGACACCTTGTGGATGTGACCAGAAAGATGTGGTACTGTCAAGGAGGTACTACTTCCCAAACAGAGTCACCCTACACAAATCCAGCTGCTTGTTTCCAGAAAGAGATTAGCTAGCCCTAATATGTACACGGGCACACAAGAATACCAAAATAGCAGGGAAAAGGAAGAAAAAAAAAAAGAAAGAAAAGCCAGGAAATTCACAGTTTGCAACTTCATAACTGCTACAAAACCACCCAGGTAATGGAGGCCGTGTGGTAAAGGTATAAGGGTAGGCAAGCCCAGCTCAATGGACTAGAAATGAGAGTGCAGGACGAAATATGCCTTTTATATTATGGTGGATTTCTTTTCAAAGGGGTGTGCTGTAATGACTCGATGAGGAAAATTAGTCTAGTCAACCAATGAGGTTAAGATAATTGGATATTCTTATGCAAAAGATACACCATATGCAATAATCCAGACTGACTCAAAATGAACCATAGACCTTTACCTAAAGAGTGTGTGTGTGTGTGTGTGTGTGTGTGTGTGTCCCAAAAATCCAGGGTCTACTAGGCCCTCTGCCTGTGGGTTACAGTTGTGTAGCTTGGTCTGTGTGTGGGGCCCCTAGCAGTGAGACGAGGATCCAACCCTGGTGCATGAACTGGCTTCTTGGAACTTATTCCTTATGATGGGATGGCTCACTCTCCTTGATGCAGCGGGGAGGAGCTTGGTCCTGCCTCAACCTGACATGCCTTGCTTTGTTGACTCCCACAGGAGGCCTTACCCTGTCTGAGGAGTGGATGGGAGGAGTAGAAAGGAGGTGGGGAAGAGGACAGGAGGAGAGGAGGGAAGGGAAACTGACTGATATGTAAAATAAATTCTAAAAAAATTATTTTTAAAAATCCAGGATCTAGGTTAACCAGTGGTTCCTTAGTTATGAAACCAAAGAAACAAGAGAAAAAAAGGCAAATCATTAAAATGCATCAAAGAACCCTATAAAAAATAAAACCCTACAAGATGGGCCCGTGGGTGTGTTTCAGTAGTGTGCTTGCCCAGCATGCAAGAAGCCCTTGGTTTAAACTTGAGGTGAAATAGACGTGGGTTTTCCCTTTGGCACCTCCTAGAAGTGATCTTGAGGGTGTATTCACGCACCCGGATTGTTTCATAAGTTTTTCATATTTCTTTCAAGTCTCCCTGATAGAGTTAACTGTCTTCTCATCTGAGAAGTACCTCTGCCTTGTTCAAGTTTGAATGTCTGTAACCTCCCTGTGCCTCTTTTCATCATTCGTATCTGTGTCTGCCCTGACCTACTGCAAGCACAGGGGTAGCCAGTACCACCTCCATCTTAATGCTAAGAGCATGCCCAGGGTGTGTCCGTAGACCTGAGCTCCCCTCCTGTGTTTCTACTTTTCACTCCTTGAAATCTTCCCCTCCTCCCAGCACATGAGTTTTCTATCCTTTCATCTCTGCATCTCAGTCCACTCAAATCATGGTTCAATCTGTATAGCAATCTTCCCGTGCAGCGCATCCATTTCTGATTGTTTAAGTTGCCTCTACCATTTCTCTTTTGGCTATGAGATCCAGCTCATGAGAGTCATGTTGAACATATGCTGTAAAGGTATGTAAAGCCACAGCGTGAGGACACTTCATCTGTAAACAAGACTTTCAAAGAAGTCATGATTTCTGTCATTCTTTCCTTTGACTATCCCTGCCTCACCAATACCTCTCAGTCCCTCTAACCTTAAAAAAAAAAAGTGGAGCTGAGGGGCTGATCCTCAGGTCTTCCTTCTACAGTTTCCTTCTACAGTTCAAGCACAGATTGCATGTCTTCTCTCAGGCAGCTGTCCTTCTGTTGGAAGCAGGAGGGCTTCTATTTGATGGGTATTCATGGGCTGAATGAACTTACCACCTCACCAGTGATTCAACCCCTGTCTATTAGCCTATTAAATGAGCTATCAAGGCAGTTGACTGAGATCTAGTGGGGATGGATCAACCATTCTTCATGATTGATTGATTGACTGAAAAATCCATCACCAAAAACTGTAGTGATGTACAGTCATAGCATATATGTATGTACATACATATAATATTCATTCTCTGATAGGGTTTTATTTAAATCTGTGCAACCAAGTTCCTCTAGTGGCTCACCAGTTTTATGGCCATTTTCTTGTCCCTGTCAACTGGCCTGACTAGTGATGGACATTTTCCAGGCTACAGAGAGCCAAATGTTTCAGTCTTTAATGACTGCCACATTACCATCAATTAACAGATTAGTGTGTTGTAAACAGTGTGTTTTGTTAGACTCTTTCGTACAGTGTGTGTGTGTGTGTGTGTGTGTGTGTGTATGAGCGTGTGTGTGTGCATTCACGTAGATGCCTGTTCAATGTCGCGTGTCTTCTTTGATCACTCTGTACATTATATTTTTGTGTGTATGTGTGCACTAAAGCGTAAGCACGTGTGTGCCACAGAGTGAGGGTGAAGGCCAGAGGACAGCTCTCAGAAGTTGGCCCTCTCCTGCCACTCTGTAGGATTCAGGAAAAGAACAAAGATAGTTAGGTCTGTGTGCAAGACCCTCTGTCTGCTAAGCCACCTCAACAACCTCTCACTGCCTTGGTTTTTAAGAAAGGATCTCATTAAAATGGAGTTCACTGATTCTGGTAGGCTGGCTGACCACTGAACCTCTGGAATCTACCAATTCTGCTTTCCACCCTCTGGGATTACAACCACATGCCACTACACTTGGATTTTTACCCAGGTGCTGGGGATCCAAATTCAGGTGCTCATGCTTGCCCAGAAAGCATTTTACCCACCGAGCCATCTCCCTGGCTCAATTTCCCATCTATCTTGGGTGAACTCTTTAAAACAGTATCTGCATGGACCAGTGCCAGTCTCTGGACTGGTTTTTGCTGGTTTGTAATGAGATGGATGCAAAAATTAAGAGTAAGAATGGAGATATTTTAATTGCAATTTGATACAGTAATTATGTGTCTATATAATCCTATCATATATTTTATGTTTTGTATTGCTTTTGTGGCTCATTAATCTAGTATTAATTTTAGTGTGTTTTACAAAAAACACTAGTCTAAAATTATTTAGATGTTTTTCTCAAACTGTATTTACCAGAGATGGTTTGAGAAATGGTAACCTAAAGTGCCAGGTCTCGACTCTTCTCAGTTGCTAGTCTTACCTTATTCCAATTGTCAAACTGGCATTCTCTCTGAGTATGTGAAACTTGAACCATCCGGTCCTCCTTATCCCTCGAGGATATGTATCGAAGACTTGATTGCCCTGACTTAGAGCCCCTCACATTATGGGGTTCATTGTGGCCATAAAACTAAGGGGGACACCTTCAGCTACTTGAACAATGCATTCACCATCTGTGGGGTAAGAAAGTTTGTCTCTGTTGACTGTGACGTTGGCTGCTCATTGCCAAGCTGTAATAAATGAACTTTGCTAAGTAGTCTCTCACAGGCATGGACCCAAGCCCGGGAGACACAGGAGCATCATTTTTGATAAGCCCCCATCCAGCATGGTCACGGCATCATCTCTGCACCGCCCAATCAATGTCTCTTCTCCCTGAGCCTTATTTCAAGGGGACTTATATATCCATTGTTATATTTCATCTGATTCTCGTGCCAAACAGTCAACCTCTCTCGAGGAGAACTATGTTTAACTGATTATGTCTTAACCTTTGACATCATTTTTTTTTTAGAGAACATCGTTTGAGGACACTGATTTCTATTGCCTTTTACAGCCCCTTTCCATCCAGATTGATGTCACACACGCTTGTGACAGGGATGGGAGTGATGGGGTGGAGAAAGCAAAACCAGGACCGAGGATGCCAGCCAGGAGGTCACAGCAGAAATCTAGGCACAGAATGAGAAGGGACTGACCCTGGGCAGCAGCGGGTGTATGGAGATGCGATGAGAGTGAGCAAAGCTGAGGCTTTAGCACAGAATTTGG